ATTTGCGATATATTTTCTTTAATACTATCATAAACTTAATTTAATATAATATTTTACATATTCGTTCTACTGTAGCTTTCAAATCCTTTAAAGTTTAAACTCTCTGAAATGCTTAGAATATGTTTATAAAATGCCTCAGATCCGAGCAAGCCCGGATATTATATTTTATTGCTAAATATTTAAAAAACTTGTTTTGTTGACTTTTCATAAGAAAGACTAAAATTGACAACGTAACTTTAATGTAATATAATATATTTCTAGTATACTTAATCATGAAATTCACAGCACTATTTAATTTTAATTAATACAGATTTTATGCTTGTATATATAACGCCATATTAATATCTTAAAACAAACCCATGATTCAATGTCAAAGGCAGCCGAAGTCAAAGGCAATGCTAAGCTCTTATATTAAGCAATACAAACAATACAAACTATTTGTTTATATCAAAATTGGTCTCTGTTCACGGTTTAATTGAAGCATGTTGAGCAGGTGAAATCAAACGAATTGTAATGGGATGATAAAGCCCGAATGGCATTGGATCTAATCTAGTCGTTGTTATTTGCATGTTGAACAAGTTAAGCGTGGCTTACTGCCATATCTAAGTACAAAAGATAAAATTCAAATTGACATGCAAATGGCATAGACGACAAACAATCTAGTGACGGAGCGAAAGAGAGGCAGAGGCAGAGGGAGAGGGAGAGGGAGAGTGCGAGTGGGAGAGAGAAGGTAACAAGAGGGAAGTATTCTTATTGGGACATCTAAAAACATCCAATTAAAGGCAAAATGCGAATTCAAATTTGATTGTTACGCGTAAACAAATGCTTAAGTGCGCATTATGCAAATCAATACTCTTCTTAAAGTAGCGTCAATAAATAAAGGAGCGCCCCATGGTGGGCGCGCCACTCGCTACGATTTGAAGTAGCAACAAATCGCTGAGCAGGAAAATTGCGACAAATAAATCATTTTGAGCCGCATTCGCATTCGCGTGCGCGTGCAACAAAAGACATAAGCAGCCCATTTTCATTTGCGCCAAATGACATTTGGGCCGGAATCAATTGATTTGAATTTCAAAGTGTGCCACCCGGCCCACCACACGGCCGTGCCGCTCAGACCCCGCTAGACCAGACCAGAGCATTGCCGCAATCGCTCCCGTTCCCATTCCCGTTCTCTTTCCCTTTGTCGTTCACGATGCTGGCCGCAACCGCAGCGGCTGCGTCATCTACGTTGCCAATCAAAGCGAGTGCGAGCTCAAAATGGCGGCCATCATTGCCCGCGGCGCTGACATTAACAAAACCGAACTACAGCAACGCCGCGACCCGGCCAAAAAAATGAGCTGCTGTCGTCTTTGTTGAGCCCTCTTCAAAATGCGAGTAAACGGTATGCTTAAGCAGAGAGGAACTTAGGTAACATAAGCTGTGAAGATATCTAAAGAGAGCTATAGAAAAGGAAATAGAGAGGAGAAAGAGTGCGATACATAAAAGGAGTGGTAAATATTAAGCGAAAGAGAGAGAGAGAGAGAGAGAGAGAATGAGACAGAGACACTGAAATAAGTAAGAGAAATAGAGAGACAGGGAGATAGAGAGTGAAGCAGAAATAGACAGTCATTTCAGTGATATCTATCAGTCGATAGTCTATCATATATATACTGAGAGAGTCAAAGTAGAACGTAAGAGAATCTGAGAAACAGAGAGACAGAGGGAGGGAGACAGTCAACTCTATCAGTCGACATGTCTATCATAGCGAGAGAGAGAGAGAGAGGAGTCAGAGTAGAAAGCAAGACAATCAAAGCAGTGTTTTCTCTCAGTCTACCAATCTATCAGAGCGAGAGAGAGATACTTAGATTAGAGTGTAAGACAGAAAGAGAAAAAGATATGAAGACAAACAGAGCTAGAAAGAGAGAGAGAGAGAGAAAGAGAAAGAGAGAAAAAGAGAAAGAGAGAAAAAGGAAGAGCTATCAGTGATATCTATTAGTCTGCCAGTCTATCAGTGAGAGAGGGAATTAGAGTAGACAGTAAGACAGATATATAAAAATAGAGTGACACAGAGAGAGAGAGAGAGAGAGAGAGAGAGAGAGAGAGAGAGAGAGAAACAGTCAGATTGATTATTTTAATAATGTAGCTTTATGTTGCTTCTATCTTATCTTTTATCTGTCGATATGCCGCTCTATTCTATTATATCATATTCTATTATATTCCATGTATTTCTGTATATCTTGCTTGAGTAGCTTGCTGTCTGTGTCTCACACATTTATGGCTAAAGATGTTGACATATCTGCCTCTAGGGTATCCCTCAAGTCGTTCAACACTCAACCACGATTTGTACATGTTGTCAATGTTGTTGTTGTTGTTGTTGTTGTCTGAGTTATGCTCCGTTGTCTAGTGCCTGGGTTGGGCTGGGCTGCACGTGACAACGGCCCGGCCGCCTTTTTGGAGGCAGATTATAAATTGATTCGTACAAAGCTCACAATTGAGTTGAATTTGGGCCAGTCAGGTGGGAGAGCAGTCGAGATAGGCGCTTGGCTGCTGCGCCGACTGGGCGATTGCGAGACTGAGCTCTAGATTTATTAACAATCATTACTCATACAAATGGCTGAAGCGTGTCACAATTTTGCAGCATTTATGCGGCGTCCTTTGAACTGCGCGTACGCGCCTACTCCGACTGTCGCTCTGCCGATGATAAATGAAAAGGAGTTGAGCCGCGCACCACCCACCCGCTCGCTGCTGGCACCGCTGGCGGCGAACCGTTCAAAGACCATTTATAATTTTATTAAGTGTTTTCAAAATTGCACATAATTTGTTGTCTTTGTGTGAGAAACACACACAGAGAGTGGGGCATACATACATACAGACATAGATAGGCATACATACGTACACGTATATATAAATCAAATAAGTAAACAGCAAAAATCGTACACTTAGAGAAAGTTTATATGGCTTTTTTTTTTGGTTTTCAAGTCTGGTAAGATTTGCTGTTGAGCTTATACCATCTGTATTACTATTTTTTTAAATTTTATTGGTATAAAAATTAAATTTTAGAGAAATATATGCCTAAAAAATATTTTTTTAATACAATTTATATGTAAATATATTTAATTATATTTAAATATACTTATAGGATGCAAATTTCAATCTTACATTTTATATCATTGATATTTGATCATTTGATTGGTTAGTAAATTATACAATATTATATACATACCAGATCATGTTCATATCAAGAAGTTAAGAAAAGCTTCACTTATATCGATTGTATAATATATATAATTCTTACTAACATTTTTACTTAATATTTACATTTTCAAGCTAAACTGATAAAGCTCAAATATTTTCATATTTATATTCATAATCAAATTATGATTGGCTCGAATTCTTTTAGTCTAGACTTTCTTCTATTCAACTCTTCTATTTAAATTTCTAGCTCATTTTAAAACGTTCTATGCTTTTTTCGCAGTGTAATGACGTACCTGTGCCTATGTCTGTGTCTGTGTGCATAGGACACGCAGCTGGGTCAGTGGGCTGTATATAATTTGTCTAACTTTTTTTTTTTTTTTTGGTACATACCGCCAACGGTCATATTGGCCGCTTTATCGATCAGCTCGAACTCGGGCGCATCGCCGGACACCTCGCAGCGGTACTGTCCGGACGAATGGATATTCAGCTTCTCCAGTTCCACGTTGCAGATGAATTGATTGCAATGCGACGAGCCGTCGGCAATGGTGACACCTTTGACGGGAAACCAATTTGTTGTTGGCGGCGTTAGCGGCGAGTATCTGCAAAAGCATAGAAATTGACTGAGTGTAACAGAGAGAATCATTGCGAGAGAAAGAGAAAGATAAATAGATTGAAAGAGAGAGAGAGAGAGAGAGAGAGAGAGAGAGAGAGAGAGAGCGAGCGAACGCCTTGGAGTTCGAGTGCTGCGCAAAAATCGTATCCATGAAATATTTATGAGCCGCATGCAAAAAGGCTCGGCTTCAACTGCATTTTGCGCCAACGTTGCGCAACTGCGGCTCAAATAAAAATCCATCGATTTGCAGCAGCGTTTCATATAAATGTATGTATAAATACATGCATACATATATATGTACGTAGATATGTTTTGTTATGTATGAATATCGCGGGCATTATGCCGCTTTCAATGGCTGCAACTGTAACTGCGGCTGTGCTTGAGGCTTAGTACCTTTCAAGAGCTTCAATTTGAAACAAACTCAAATAAAAACGGAAAACAAAAACCGTTATGCAATCAAATTCAAATGCGTTTGCCATGGCTGCACAAATTGTGCATAACTTGAAAATAAATGTGATTCTCATTGAACTATTTGGCTCCACTGAATAATTGCACACAAATAGTTTGTCTCGCTGACTTTGGTTATTTAATTTGGTTATTTAATTTGGTTATTTGTGATTAAATTTTGTAATTTCATTTATTTTTGTTGCCTTTTATTAAGTTTTCAATATATTTTTAAATTATAAATATTTCCTTTTAAATTATTGCAGATTTTGTTTTGTAAGAATATAAATATTCTTATCATTTATTATTTAATATAAGTGATTTATTTATCTGAACAAGTTTATTTTGAATAACAACTCGTTGTTATGACATACAAAGCTGTTTTCATGTAAATTAGTATACCCATGAAAAATTGGAAATCAGTGTTTAATGTTTTTCTGAAAATATATGTAACAGGCAGAAGGGGGCGTGGCAGACCACATAAAGTATATATGTTCTCCATCAGGGGATCGATGGGACTCGATTTAAACTTTTCTACTTGTTTGCCATATTCCCTAGCTTCATTAAATTCATTAATTAATTTTCTTACAAGTTTGAAGTCTAATTTATGATGTCACAGAGAAAAGAAAAATTTGAAATTATGTGCAATTATTGAAAAATGTTGCACCTCGTAAAACAACAAGCTAGAAACATTTCGGTTTTCACTACCACAAAATGTTTAAGCATAATAAATGTACGCATTTAAAATAAATGTCCAATGAATTATTCTAAGCGTGTAGCTTGCATTGTTATTTGCATTGCTTGAATTTATGTATATATGAAAATTTGCATTGTTTGAGAATAATTTCATTTGATAATGTATTTCAATAGAATTTATTTCAATTTATAATTTTAAACGATGAAAATTTGGTCTACTCAATATTATTTTGGGCCATATTGAGCTCATATTAGTTTGCAATATTTAATAGTATTCACATGTGAATTGTTGCACTAATTAATAAATTATTTCATTTATTTGGCAGACTAAAAACAATCACTCTCTCTCTCTCTCTCTTTTGGCATTTTTTTTAGCTAATGGAAATGCTTAACATGTGTTTCAACAACTTATTTTCATGTCTCTTAAATCAATAACCGAAAAATGTTTGCCTAAAAAAAAGAAAATGGCGATTTCAAAGAACGGAAACATTTTGTGCTCGATTAAGCCGAAGCATTGACCAACAATTAAGCCAGTTAAATAAAAACTGCGCTTTACACATATTTAAACGGTTGGCGTAAGCGTCGATTCGAGAGAGGTGGTCTGTGGGGGGAGGGGGGTTACCTGCGCGCCACTGCTGGCGCCCATAAAAATCCATTTCAATTAAGCATTTAAATTAGTCGCGACACTTTCAACCGATCGAGTGTGCAAGCACACTCAGCTGCTCCGGCTGTCCGCCGTCCGCCGTCCGCCATCCGCCATCCGCCGTCTCCTCCTGCTGCTGCTGTTGCCACGCAATACTATGTTGCACAGAGTGTTGCAATTTCATGACGTTTTCAATTTGCACCATAAAATCTGCATGAATGCGCCGGCACACTCGCCCAGCCATTTTATTACTTCCAGCCAGAGTCGAAAATATTTTTATGACTGTTTTTTATTTGTTTTACAGCCGCAGCAGCGGCAGGAGTAGCAGCAGCAGCAGTTACCAAAAAACGGGCCAATGGGCTCGCTCTGCTTACCTGAAAAACTCATGGCCATCCTTATACCATTTGACCGAGTTGAGGGTCCGATTGCCCATCTCATAGCTGCAAAACAGTTTGGCCTTTTGTGAGACATCGATAATGGGCGGGACGGAAAGGCTCGACAGGTGCAGCGCCTCGCTGGGCCCAACAACTGCAAAAATGACCAGAAAAGTAAATGTTAAAACTGTAAACGGTAAATGGTAAATGCGACTGTTTATCAATAAAGCTGTTGATAACGGCCGTTATCCGAAAATGTCTGAAATCCACAAACAGCAAAATAAATACAAAATTTAAGCCCTCAGATGTAAGGCGACATAAATTGTAGTTAAATATTCAGACAAATGTGATGCGACATAAATATTCCGACTTGTTTCATTGCAGACTTTTAGATGTTATACTCTTATTTATTTTCACACAACCTTTTTAATTAGTTTTCATGATGCAATGCTTGAAGCTTATGGGTGATTAGGAGTCTAAAGTTGTATATGCAACTGTGTAAATTTCACTCCTTTTATGTCTCATGTTTAGATGATAAATAAGAGCAGAGTTTGAGCAAAGAAGTTGTTTCTAATAAAATTGCATTCATATAATTCGATTATATTTCTAATCGTTTAATCAGTTAGGTGTAACTAAGACAAATGTGGAAAGTGCTCCAATTACTATGCTCGAATGAGCATAAAGCTGTTTCAAAGGAAATGAACAAGTTCTTAAACATATTTTTTTGCCAAGGTCCAAAATTCCGATATTGGAGCTACAATGATTTTTATAGGATTTATCTTTGCTTTGAAGCTCACCGTTAGAAAGGCTCGAAATAGCCAATTGCCAATTGTATAAGCATGATTATATTTGATTACAAAATTCAACTCTTAAGCTGCAATTTGAACTAAGTCAAATATTATACAGAATCAGCATATAACTTACGCCTCATGCGCCACAAATATATAGATCTCCATATAAAATAAAATATTGCATAAATATTGACACATTTTTACGCTTTGTCTTATAGCCCTTATCTATCAGTGAAAATGTCCACAGAATGTCAGTTGCCAAGATTCCTGGAGTATCTCAGTCGAACGGCAACTGATTTCATTGAGCACCCACAAACAGTTGCTTATAATACTTATATTCCTGCTTGAGTAGCAAATAATGTTGCTGAAAGTCTTTGCGTATGAACAGTTTGAAAACAAACTTGATTAACATTGAGCAGTGAATTTTTAGGTATATATTTATTTAAATTGCAATATTAATATACACTTCTCTTATTTAAAAAAAAAAAATATCTAAGTCAAGCAATGGAAATGTTTCGTCAGTCTTGCTATCTTAAGTGATGATCAATTAGACGGGCAATCTTTCATTCATTCATTCATCAGTTCAGCCATTTTCCATGGCGCTCAAATGTATGCTACACTCTTTACCATATCTGAGTTGAGAGAGCAGCATGCCAAGGCTCCCCTCATTTGTCGCATGCTGCTTGTATCTCCTACCCATTTAAATAGTGTATTTAACTGACCAAAGGGCGCACAGGTGGCAGGCAGGTGGCTTTTAATTAAGTTTCTTTTGCACTTCTTGCCAGATAATAAAAATTACTAAAATTTGACCAGAGGCAGCCAAATGTATTTGTGGCATTGTAATTATTATTGTATTCGTTGTTCTGCTTGTTGTTGCTGTCTCTCTATCTCTCTCTTTCTTTCTCTCTCTCTCTTTGTGAGTGTGTGAGTTTTTTTTTTATCTGAACTATGAACTTTTGCCTGCCGACAAAATAATTAGCGTGCTGCCATCTCGCTCGCACACGAATCTCGTTTGCCTGTTTGCCTCTCGCTCTGCCCATTGTGCAGGAGCGGAAGCAACAGTTTTTCATTTGTTTATGTGTCCGAGTTTCCGTGGCAGAGCCGGATTTAATGGTCCTGTATAGTCATGTCCACTAATTACAACAACAAACAACGAGCAACAGACAACCGACAAGAGACAACAGACAACAAACAAAAATTAACTTATGTGCCCCATAAATTAGCAACGTAATATAACTTATTCCGTTTGGCTCGGCTTAATGACATTTGCTCAGGCAGAACTTTGTGATAATTCGCTCATAAACTTTGTCCCATTATATTAAGTATAATTGATTTATTTGAGAGGCAAAAGTATTATGTGTGTATATATTTTCATACATATTTATAAACATAGATATAATTTTTAATTATGCACTTAAGCTTTGATTACAACAAATTGTGTGTTAGGCTCGGCCCTGTGTGTTGTAATAGATCAAAGTTATAGACGAAGCTTTAATAGGTATGTGAAAACAGTCTTCAGTCTTAACATGAATTCATGTAGCTGGGTCTAGATTTTTGTATACAAACTCAGAAATAAAGCTAACTATAAAATCTAGTGTATCTATGGCTTGGTTTGTAAGGCTTAGCGAACGCTATTATTTAGTCCCTGAGTCTGTAAGGGTCAGCGTTCATCTGCCTATTTTTAAAGTCCACAGAGGTATGTTTACAATCCCTGTATATATCCCAATGTTAAGCTAAAGTGTGAGTTAATTCTTGAATGCCAGATTTTTTAATTGAATAATATATGAATATACTTATGTCGGACTGAAGCCAACTTGAAGCGTGTAAGCAGTAAATAAAAGAGATTTAACATATACATGCTTCAATATTGGAATAAACCCTTTTATTTCAATTATTATGTTTGTTATAATTCCGAGAAATTTTTGTTGAGCCCGTCAAAAGGCCTGGGTTCTGGGTATTAAAGGTCTAATGCATATTAAATGAATGCTTTTTGATAACAAAAGTGAAGAACACATTCGTATTGTGAAAAGAGGGAGTATATTCGTATTATTCGTATAATCGTTAAATCGTATAGCCGCATCCGCATTCGCATCCGCATCCGCATCCGCATCCGCATTCGCATCCGCATCTGCATCTGCATCTGCATCTGTATCTGCATCTGCATCTGCATCTGCATCTGCATCTGCATCTGCATCTGCATCTGCATCTGCATCTGCATCTGCATCTGCATCTGCATCTGCATCTGCATCCGCATCCACATCCGCATCCACATCCGCATCCGCATCCGCATCCGCATCCGCATCCGCATCCGCATCCGCATCCGCATCCGCATCCGCATCCGCATCCGCATCCGCATCCGCATCCGCATCCGCATCCGCATCTGTATCTGTATCTGTATCTGTATCTGTATCTGTATCTGTATCTGTATCTGTATCTGTATCTGTATCTGTATCTGTATCTGTATCTGTATCTGTATGCCTCCAGCACTATTGACAATTATTCGTGTTAAAGATACTTTTGAATTTTTTTTTTTTTTCTATTTTTGTAATATAAAACAAATTTGTATTCCACTTATTTTTAAGTAGGAACAGAAAATAGTTCAAATAAATACAAAAATTAATCAGATATGTAAATTAATGTGAGAGAATGTGAATTAATATTTTATTTATAAAATACATCTGTGCAAATATTTAATATTTTTTATGCAGTTTTTTTGCATATCTTTTGTGTATGTGCATAACATATTTTGTTGACAATATGGTTTGTTTGCTTGTAAAATTAAGTACGGCTGACATGTGCGATTAACTACTTAGCTTGTTGTTGTTGCTGATGCACCATTGACATGGCTTTAATATTTATGGGCCGAAAGCCGGGCTGGCTTAAAGCAATTTGCCAGCTCGAAAGTTAGCCGACAAATTGCTTCAGAGCAGACCAAAACCAAGCCGCATTACTCATAATGACGAGCAAAAAATTCGATTAGCTTAGAAAGCAATTAACATGCTAAGCACACACACACACACACTCATGCACACAAGCACACGAACACACACAGAGAACTTAACATACAGCGAAATTAAAAAGGATTTCTAGCGCAAATGACGAAGGCATTTTGTGAGCCTGGCCACAGCTATGTATACTACATGGGTTTCCGCCTAAATCTGGCTCAAGTCGTTGCCGGGCAGCTCTCGGACTCTTTCTTGGATTACCCTAGCGTAAAAAGTGCAAGGGTAGTTAAGTTGTTATGCCCAGCATATGGAAGCTGTTGAAAGTTGAGTCTTAGATAGGCAGATATTTATTTCAAGACTTGACTTTTTAAGCATAGCTCGAAAACTCTAAATTTGTAATTAGCCAAAGTGTATATAATAATCATTATTCTGATTTATCGAAATTCAAAATACCATAAAAATGACTGGAAATGTCGATATATTTTTGGTAGTCATCTTTATAAATAATTGATTCATACTAATATTCATATATGTTGTGATTTCATTCAAACTCATTTAAATAATTAATATTTATTTATGCAAATAATTAAATATATTAATATTTCTGAAGCAGTTATATCTCAATCTCATGTAAACTCAGGATATATGCTAGTCGTGCATTCTCATTAAAAGCCTTCCCATTCGTGGTTTTCTTCTTCTTTTAATGGGCGGCTCGCTGACGGATTGTTGGGTCAGTTAATATCACTCAGACATGAGACTTAGCTGTCTTGGCGACGGCCACACATACACACACACATACACGCATACGCATTGACAGTTGGCTGACCATGTGTGAGGGCGATGAGTTGGCCGAAAAGACCAGTTGGGCCATAAGATAATGAATGCGTTGACGTTCAAGCATTTAATGTGCCGAAACAATGATGAATTAGTGACGAGACAGAAATATCTCAAGCGCAAAATAATGAGCCGTTTGCTTGGCCTCCTCCTGGCCCACTCGCTCGCATTCGCTGTTACAATCATGGCCAAAAATTCACTATGCGGGCAATTTGCTTTGAATTTAGTTGATTGCCGGACGGAATTTGGCGCCATTCGAGCTCTGTGTGTCGCTCGGTCTGTGTGTGTGTGTGTGTGTGTGTGTGAGCAGCAGCATGCTTGGAATTTTCGATTAAAGAAAGCAAAGTCCGTACGAAAACATTTTGTATTTAAATTGAAACAGCAAGTGCTTGAAGCATCTCCAACTTCCTTAAATACTCAACAGCTATACTCTATCTTCCGGTCGGGTCTAGGTAACCGCTTGTAATGCTATCTACGAGGTAAATTTGTCTTTGTCATCGCCTTTGACATTGACATGTGGTTCATTTCTTTGCCCGCCCGCAGGACTCAGCCCCACAGCAGTGGGCGCTGTGTTCATTGACTTTAATGCTTCGTTGTCCTGCGCTTATACCAGTTCAAGCTCCCAGCTTCCGTCTATTGATGGGTATTTAAGCACCTGTTGCTACCCTATTAACAGTTTGGGGCCATCACGTTTCTAATTGTATCGCAAAAGGCTCTCATAGAGCAGACGGTGTATTAAAGATTCGTTTTATTTAATAGGTTTATGATTTATGTTCATAGCATATGCTCTCATGCCTGTCAATGCTTTCACTAGTTAGAAAACTAAAGTTGCGCAAGTTGTTGTATGAAAAATGACGCACATTTCATCATGCGAGCATGCGAACTTGTATACATAAGTGTGTGTGTATGTATTTGTATATGTATGTCTATCTGTGCTGGGCATCGACTTTTACTTTTGTTTTGCCCCACATATTTTTGGGGCAAATTCATCATTGTTTCGTTTTTTTTTTTTCTGGCTGTTGTTTACCCTGGAAAGTTAAAGCTCAACTTTAAGGATACACGAAACTTGTTTTTGGGATATGTGCGCGTGCGAGATTCGCGCGCTCATCACAAGTTTTTGACAGTTTTATGCCGCGGGGACTGAGTGGGCGGGGGCGAGAACGAGGGCCGGTACGAGCGTGGGGCCAGGGGCGTAAGTCATCTCAGGTAGTATGTGCTGATGGATTGCTTGGGTCGACAGCAGAGCTGGCGCGTCTTTCAGTGAATGCCGCGTTTCCTGTTGCAAAGCCTTCGCGCCAGTTGCAACTTAATAGGAAGGAAACCCGAACCGAACCCAACTGAACCCAACTGAACTGAACTGAACTGAACTGAGCTGAGCTCAACTAAAAGAGCTTAAAGTATTTTGCGGGCCAACTGAGATGAACTGCAACGCTGCAGAATTATGTATAAATTGTAGATAAATATGTAATCAGATGAGCGACTAGCTGCAGATGCTCAACAAAATATAATACCTTAACAGATTTGCTAGGAAAAGTTGTAACGAGTCGACAGTTGATTGCATAAGGACTCTCTGCAACTGCATCCGCATCCGCAGCCGTATCCGCAGTTGCATCCGCATCCGCATCTGGCAATGGCTATATAATACAGCCAAGCAGACACCGACAGATAGACGAATGAACGGATGGACCAACGGACCATCTGAGTCGGCAAGTGGGTAATAGTTTCAGGTAAAAGCCTGTAAACGAGCAAACTGGCACAAACGAGCAGCTAGCTAGCGTGGAGCGGTGTCTGGCAGCGAGGGCAACGGTGCGGATGCTCGATATCCAAGGCATCTGTGGCAAATGTAGCTCGAGTCGTAGATATAAAGTCATTGAGTTGGAAACTGTTTGCCAGTGCCAAGCCAGCAAAAGATTCAAGTAGCAGCAGCAGAAGCAGCAGCCGTCGCAGTAGTCGCAGTAATAGCCGCAGCAGCAGCGGCAGCAACAGCGGCAGCAGGAGCAGTAATAGCAATAGCAGCAGCAGCAACATCAACACCAGTTTTCTCCGCATTGCCCATTCGCCGCTTGTTGTATTTATTATATAGCGTATACGCAATATTTGTACATGACGAAGCTAGAGCAATGGATTGTTTGCTTTAAATATTTTGTTCTATTTGTTGGGCTTTCTGACAATTTTGTTGTTGTAGTATTAGAGAGAGGGTATTATTATTATTATTTGATCGTCAAATGTGTAACCGAAGGTCGGAAAAGTTGACAATGATATGTGGAATCAAAAACAGCATCAAAATAGAATAATTGGATTATATAATGGCCGTAGAAACATTACCAATTATCTTAGTTTCAATCAGTTTCATCTCTTGCAAATGTTTTATCAGAAGATAATTTTTTTATGGACACTATCTTATTATGCCATGCAGCTGCAGCGAGTTTGCGCTTTTGTTTGCCTTTCATATAATCTAACAAAAGTTTTCAATTACATGCATCAATCTACTTACATTGTATGAGTATATTATTATTAGCACAACTTCTTCATTAACTTATGAATGGCTTTGCTCAAATTTAATTATTGGCAATTGCGGTGGAGAGAAAGAGACGGAGGCTGTCTACATGCAGATAATATACATAATGCACGGGGAGGGAGTAAGAGCTCACGCCATTGGTCACAGTGCTTGTGATCCCGTTATCTTGGTATGCAAGACATTGACACACAAAATGAGTGAGAGAGCGGGAGAGTGAGAGGGACAGAGTGAAAGCATTAAGAGAATGCTATTAAGCGCATAGTAAACAGTGTTGCGTGCTGCATTAAAGCACTTGGATGCATTCGAATTATTACACTGCGCATTTAATACACTGCAAAGTGTTTGAGGATACGTTCAGATAAGAATTTCTTCTATGTTGCTTTTCTTAGATGAGCGGAACTTCATTAGC